GCTGTCTCTTATACACATCTAGATGTGTATAAGAGACAGCCCCCACGCTGCTTCCCGAAACACCCAATCCAGGCAAGCCTTTCTCAGCTGCGAAGCGAAGCAGAAGAGTTGAAGGCGGCGGAGCAGGCGGCGAGTGCTCGTAGCGAGAACGTCACGGGCAAGCTCAAGGAGCTGATTCCACGCTACAAGGTACGTACTGGGCGGTTGTTGTCCGTACTGCTGCTGGTGCTTCATGTTTCGCAGGCGACCATGAATAAAAGTGGCTTGGCTCTGACACGGCTAGAACGAGCTGCCACCACACGCCTGCTGCAAAGAGACAATTGTCGAACACACACAGAAACCTCACGATGCCTCTTTCTTCATACAGACACACACACACACACACACTGCCTCTAAGAACAACTTCCCGATGGAAATGATAAACCAAGACCACACCAGAATACTGGACCGAGCGTCGAGAAGATCACTCACACCACACGCGTATTCTTGCCCCTCCCCCCCCCACGAAAACAAAAAAAACAGGAGCTTCGTGACTCCGCGAGAAAGTCCGACGAGAACGCCAAGCGGTCCGAGGCGGCCGCAAGCGCCGCCGGGGAGCTGGTCCGCCAGCTCAGGCAAGAGCTCGAAAGTGCGCGCGAGGAGGTAGCGACGACTCGCAGCGCCGTCGAGGCCGGCGACGGGCGTGTCGTGTCCCTCTCGGAGGAGGTGCAGGCGCTACGGGCATCGCGCAACGGGCTGGACCGGAGGCGGGTGGAGCTGCAGCTGGAGCTGGCGGGGGAGAAGCTGAAGAACGCGTTCGGGGTGGGGGGTCGGTCCGGGCTGGGGCTTGGGCTGGGGCCGGAGTTCGGGGCCGACCTGGGCGTGGCGGGGGAGGTGTTCCAGAGGTGGCGCCTGGCGTTCTTGGAGGGGAGGCAGGGGACCATGAAGAGCGAGTCGGAGGAGAACCGGGGGAAAGCAGAGAGCTACGAGAGCCTCGTGCAGCGGCTGAGCGAGGAGCTGGAGCGCCAGGGCGAGGTCGTCAACAGGTACGCGAGCTTGCTTCTCGAGAGGGAGGAGCAGCTGGACGCGGCCCTCGACCGGGCGGCCAGGGCCCACGATGAGCTCATCTCCATGGAGCCGCCGAGCCTGTCGCAGGCAGTCGATGGCGTGAAGATCCTCCTAAGGGTTTCCACTACTGCGGCGGCCGGAGAGCAATCGGCGGTGACGGGAGATGATGCTCCTGCTGCTGCGGTTGCTGCCGGAGGCGAAGCCGATGCCGCGCCGCAGGTGTGGTGCCTAGTCCGTTATGCTATCGCTTCTTCTTCGTCTGGCAAGCGCCGCGGCACGGTGACCGGGCGGGAAGAGGAGGAGGAGGAAGCGGACACGGCAAGTGCAGAGAAAAGTCAGCCGCAGCAACGGGGACGGGAAGAGGAGGAAACTGGAGGTACCCCGCGGGGGAACGTGTCCAGCAGTGGAAACGACCAGCCGGTGGAAGGAGAGGAAGGGGAGCAGCAGCCTGCCGCTTCAGCGCCGACAAGCCCAGCCTCACCTCAGAAAGACGCTCCCGCCACGGATGACGGGGCAGCCGCTGCGGCAGAGGACGCTCAGTCGTCATCGAACGACCCCGTCCGCGAAGGGGCCGAGGACGATGAGAGTGGAGGGGAGGAGGAGGAGGAGGAGGAGGAGGAGGAGGACGGGAGCGAGACGGGTACAGCCGCTCGTGATGAAAATGTCGTGGCTAGCGGTAACAACGACGACGATGACACGGTGGAGGTGGTCGAGTGGCGGACACAAGAAGATGTGGACGAATGGTTCGCTGCACAGGTCGCCCGCGCCATAGAGGTGGCCGATGAACAACAACAAGCGGCCAGCGGCGGTGGCGGTGTTGACGGAGGGCCCGCCGCCGGCGCGATGGACACAACGGTGGTTAACGCGCAAGCCCCGGTCGCGGTGGCCCCGGTTTTGCCGGTGCTGGAGACCCCGATGACGCTGCAGCAGTCGTTCGGCGCGGAGCTTTCGCGCGTCAGGGGTGACCTGGAGGCCAAGCTGGAAGAGGCGCGCGCCGAGCTCACGAGGAACACGGAGGCGTACAAGCAGTACCGCGCGCGGGTGAGGGCTCTTTGCTTACGTTCTGTGCATAGCAAGCAGCCTCTCCTTTTTTGCTGTGGGAAAGGAGGCGTTGCGTTTTTCGAGAACATGTCTTCGGTAGAAGGGTATGGTTGAGTCGTGGCCGTAAGCAACAAAACAGCACACCATGGGTTTTGATGCCCGGGAGCTCATGACTCAGAATATGAAGGTACTCAGCGGGACCCGGAATGATTTGCAGTGTGAAGCCAACAAGAGCAACGACGACGACAAAGCGGGAGTAGGATTGACACCTCGTTTGGGAGCAGGCAGTACTGCATCGTTTTTGGCGGCGAGCAGGAACACTCGGGAACGAGTGCGATGCAGCAGAAATGCAGCTCCGGCTCTTGCTGGTTCCGTGACCTCGCGGAGCGTGGCTATAATGTGTCAGTTTGTGATCCCAGTTATTCGTGGTGTTTGTTTTGTGTGTGTTTTTTGCATTGCAGGCACACACGGCCATCAAGAACAGTGGGGCCTCGCAGAGGGACACGGAGGCCCGCATCGCGCAGGCGCACAAGGAGCTGGCCGCCGAGCAAGAAGCCATGCGCAGAGCCCACGAGGACCGCACAGCGGCGGAGGCTCGCTGGGCTGAAGAGGTGCGGTACGGCATGTCGAGGGCGGACCAACTACCTTCTGAGATAGCTGTGCGAACAAGGTTTCCGCTCTCATCATTCCTCCACCCGCCCCCCCGTTTTTCATTTGTTCATGGTCCCATCTACTGCCGACGCTCGGCAGCGTTTGCAACCTAACATGCTACGCGTAGTTGTCTCGTCGAGCACCTCCCCACCAGCACGCGTTGCGCACGAAGCTTGCAGCTAACGTGCCATGACCCCCCTTCTTGCCGTTGGAAAGGGACGTCGCGCGGTTTGACTCCTTGAGGCGGACAGCCCAAGTCCTAATTTCCTGCTTCGAACGCCTTTTCGTCCCAATATCCTCGAAAACAGTCGGCAGTCCTAAAGCAGCAGATAGCCGAGCTCGAGGCCCGGGTCAAGACAGCAGCAGCGCGCACCGCGGAGGTCGAGGCAAACATCGCCGGCTCCGTGGAGGAAGGCGTCAGGGCCGCCAAGGAAGAGACCGCCGAGGCGCGGCGGCTGGAGGAGGAAGGGGCCAAGGCCGCCGGCGAGTTGAGGGAGGCGCTCGCCGCGGCCCGCTCGGACCTGGACAAGACCAAGCGCGAACTCAAGCAGAGGGGACAGCTGGCCCGAAACCTCCTGGCCGAGAAGGACGCGGAGATCAACCGGCTGCGGTCTGGGGAGGCGGGCGGCGGCCTGATGCACCTGCACGCGAACGGCGACGGTGGTGCAGTAGGTGCCGCGTCGGGGTCGGCGGTCGACGGTACCGCCCTGTCATCATCGCCGCCGCCGCCGCAGCAGCAGCAGCCTACCGCCGGCTCGCCTGGCGGCGGCTCCCCTCCCGTGACCGGCGCGTCATCGAACGGAGCAGGGGGGGGGGGGGGGGGGGGCACCGCCCCCGGGGCCGTCGGAGGCGTGAGCGCGGCCAGCAGCCCCGACTTTGCTGTCGTCGTTGGATCCGACGGGTTTGCCACCGGGAGGAGAAGGCTACAGAGCGGTGGTGGTGGAACGGGCGGCGGCGGCGGCGGCGGCGGCGGCGCGGGGGGGTCCAAGCAGCCACAGCAGACGGCCGCGGAGTCCCACCACGCCGAGCAGCAGATCCTTCAGATGGCCAGGGTCCAGGCGCAGCGGGACGAGGAGACCGGGCGGCTCCGCGTCAAGATCAAGAGGCTGGCGGACGAAATCCGCGCCCGCGAGGAGGAGCTGGCGGCCCGCGACGAGGAGAAGGAAGGGCTCAGGAAGCGAGTGGAGGACCTCCAGGGGGAGGCTGCGAGGGCAAAGGAGCTCCTCGACGACGCCACCGGGCCGGAGAAGATGACGTACCTCAAGAACGTCGTCAAGAGGTTCGTAATGAGCGACGGGACGGAGCGGCAGCGGCTGGTGCCGGTCGTCGCGACCATCCTGAGCTTCAGCCCGGCGGAGACTAGCGAGGTCGGCAAGGCCGTCGCCGCGGCCGCCGCCGGGGGCGCGACCTCCTGGGGGTCTGTCTTCGGGTGACCACTTTTGCTATCTCGGCCGAAAAGAACAGCCGGCAATGGCTGTTCATTGGTGTACCCAGCGGTTTCATGCCTCTTGTTGCGATGTTCGGTATTTTTGGCAACCCGCGGATTAAACCCCGTGGACGCGCGGGGCATTTCCGTTATGCTGTTGGCGTTTTACTGTCCGAATTACTGGTGCTTGGTGGTGTACGGGTTCTTGTGTGTCCTTGACGCCGGCGTGTGTGACGGGGTAAGGCCTGGACCGGCCCGCCCCCAGTGTGCCTCCTTTACTCTGATGTCATTAGTTTGCGCGGATGGCTCACCCTGATCGCAGAAACCTTGAGAGCTTTCTTGCTGCATTCTCTCGGTGTTGCTGTAGAGCATTCCAGGCAAATGTCTCTACAAGGTCGGCATTGTCAATCATGCGGTTGAAAGGCGGGACGAGGCAAGGGACTAAATGGCGCCCTGCGCACTACCCAAAAGATAGATGTGGAAATATCAGTTGTTTTATGCTCGGTTGTGAAGGAATGTCTTTCGCGAGTCACCCTTCAACGCAAAATGATATTTTGCTCTGCCGGGTAATGGTGTAGGCGAACAATGGTGGAGCTGGCGTTTAAGACTAACCCTAAAGGTTAGTCCCGTAAGTTTTTTGGTTGAGATGTGCACTAAATAGACTAGTAAACTTTGTATTACCCAAGAATGATGGCGGAAAGCTGGGTATTTCGTGTTTGTTTCAGAGAGTCCCCAGAAGTCTCAGGATACGGCCAATCTGTCAAGCAAATGAATGGACTAATAAAATGAGGGGGGGTATTTGTCGTCACAACCAACCTCCCCTCGCCCCGGGAAACGTCCCCGGGTATCTCAAAGCCTTCAACTTTTCGGCGAATTTGCGGAGCCCCCCGGAGAACTGTGTGCCCCCTGAGAAACGTTCCTGACAATGCTCCATTGTGCGAAATGAAATGGAAACCTCGGTTTAATTTTTTCTCAGTTGGGCCGTCATGCTTGAGCCCGGAGATACGATGCCGCCGCTGGTACCTTCCTTGTTGATAGCCGCGAGGCAAAGCTTGGCCTGCTCTCAATACTGACGCACAATAAAGGGAGAAAAGGCTCGCCCCATTTCCCCGCAGGGGGCGTGCGTGCGAGCGCCCTCTATTTGCTGCCGCCGATCTGCTTAAGGAAGGAGTCAAGGTGCTGCCCCTGGTACTTGAGAAAGTCCACTTCTTCCTTCCTTTTCTTGTGGTCTACCGCGCGTCGCTCGCTCTCCCCTTTCTCAATCACCTCAACCTGCACACGCACAAGCCGCACACGAAGCGCAGCAAGTAGCAGTAGCGAGGCGAGGAGGCCCGTGTTTCTGTCAAAGTCATGAGCAGGCAGTGCGACCACGGCACATGAACCGGAGGTGGGCGGACTTTGGCAGTGCGCATCACGTCCGTCTACAATCCGCATCCTAGTTCGCGTGGGGTGGCGCTGAAACCAGGCGCCAAGCACGTTCTTGGCGACGTTGCGCCGCTTGAAAAACGATGCGCCAACTTAGCTCCTGTAACGTTGCGTGTCTTGTAATAAACAACGCGCTTGCCTTGTTTCGCAGTTCCGATACGTGTAGCTCCAGCGCTTTTTTGTCCTCCTCCAACGCAGCAATCTGACAGCAGCACCCCAAACGGAAACATTGTGCATCGAAAAGCGCCGACCAGGTTTGAAACAAAACGAAGGGACACATCCAAGCATCCGAATTGGGTACGGAAGCGACAGGTGATCCGTGACACACTTCCAATCTACGTACGTCAAAGCAACCCATGCATCAACAATTGCATAATCAATCGTGAACCCCGACATATTTCGATATTTTACCGTGCTCGTTGTACAGTCTTATCAAGCTCACATTTTTCGGGCGACAACAACAACATATTATTTATATCTCCTCTTGTTTACGCTACGTGGGCCGTAGCGCAACAGCGCTGGACACCGGACCTGCTCCTCCATCTCTGCCATTCCCTGCTCCGCTTGTAGCTGCTTCTTGACGCCGAAGGTCACGCTGCTGTCGTACAGAGTCTTGTACGCATCGATAGTCATTCTGATCTCGTCGCGCACCCGCAGGCACAGCAACCCACGCTCGGGACCGTCTAGTGTCACGTGTCGGATAAGTTCGTCTGCGACGATTCGTAGGATGTGCGGTGGATAGGGGTTGAAAACTGTTTGCTTGAATGGGCTTCGTCGACGTAGCTGTTGGCTGCTGCAAGGACCACTCCGTACTGCTGTGCTCACCGCTGGGTTAAAACAAAATCTAGGATGTAGGCAAAACGCGTCGAAAGTCCTGCGAACGAAGCTCGTTCATCCAGACGTGAAAAAAACTCTTGAGGAAAGGACCCCAGAGAATCGCCCACGAACGGTGTGCTTTCATTCCAAAACATTTGGGCTTATCTTGCGTCGCATCATGTGGGTATCATCTCAGATGCTGCTGCTGTCCGTTTTTGGCCCGCCTCAGTGGCTAGAGGAGGAACACTTCCTCGGGAAACCCATTGTTGTGGGGGAGCTGTCCACATCCAACCTGTTGAAAACAACGATGAAACCTTTATTACCCAGGAGTTTGTGTCTTGGCTACCAGCGCTTACCGAACGCCTGAGTGTACAGGTCTTCCCGGACGGGGCAAATGCCGGTTTCCAACGCCTGTCTCTCCAGCAGCTTTTTGTCCAGTTGCTCCTGAGTAAGGAGCACAAGGTCGCACGGGAATAACGCAGTAAAGGCGCGACAGGTGGGCGCTGGTCACCGAGGAAATCAACCACGGCAATCCAACGTTTGTAGTCTCTTGCCACGATTTACATGTGCCAGCTGCTGACAAGAGATTAATCACAGTATTTACTGGGAAACGTTTTTTGGGTCGAAGCACAAATTGTTTGTTATGGCGGTGCAATTGTTATGTTGCCGACTTACGACAGGAGCTCGTCCGTTCAGGCCGTACACTAAAGCGGTTTCTCCTGTAGACTATGTGGCACCGGCCGGTGTATCTAAAACAAACGTAAAACTGGGAGTCCAGAATATGGACACGACAACACATACACAAACACTCCCATCCACTGGCACTGACGTATTTTCTTTGGCCAGTCGGTTAGCGCGGTCGGGCTGATGCAAAACCCACACAACGCAGGGCGCTAACGTTTGAACTGGAGCACCGCAGTTTTCTCATGGTGAAAAACGTTGCACATTTGCAGGCTGCACCGCAGAGAATGTTTTCTATTCAGTCCGAGCTACGACTGGAATGTAGACGAAGTTGATTGAAGATGTTAGAGACAAATAAGTGGTGTTTACGGGAGCTGGAAGCAAACCTACGGAAGACCAATCGCCCGGATGGCAGCCATGCATACAGGCAGTAACAACAACGGCAGTATCAAGCGGCAGCAACAACAGCAGCAACAACCGCAGCGAGCGGCAGTAACAACAGATAGGTTGGCAGACCATGTTTGACCTCGCTATTGTTTTTTAGCCAGGCACAATAGAGCGTTCCGGCGCACCTGGCGAAAATATTACCCTATTCCAGCGCAGTTTGCCAAACGGCGTGCTCCTTTTACAGGACCTAAGATACAGCTTTGACCTGTATCTGGCCCAATCGACTCAACATCATGTATCCGTACGTTGTGTTCGCGCAAAGTTGAAAGCGATGCACAAATTCGGTGTACACGTGAGTGACACTTCGAGAGCAAACACGCTTCACTTCACAATCTACTATTGTGTGCCGGATCATGCTCCCCGATCAGTGTCCGTTCATGTCGTATGTAACTTGTCTCCTCTTTTCGTCAGGATACCTGGAGTGCGATGACCGCTAACCGCGTCGCCGGTTCCTTGCTGACATACTGCATCCACGTTCCCGTCTCCTCTGTCCACTCTCGCGGAGGCAACATAGCGTTCACCATGTCGTCTAGCTGCGATGTCTTCCCCTGCTGACCTTTGCCCCCCATGCCGGCACCTCCCCGGTTGCTGCCTCCCCCATTTCCTCCCATCAGTGCGTTGTCGCCGCCGTTGTTTGGGTCACACGAAGGCTCTAGGCCGGCAAAGATCGGAGGATCAAAATTTACTAGAGTTTGCGGTATCTCCATCGGGAACTGCGTGCCCTGCTGCGTCATTCCCGGCCCTCTCCCTACGTCCATGTCAATCGATGTATTTGTGCGATTACTGTGAGCCCGTCGGCAGGCAAGCTTACCCACCCAGAGTAGCGACCGGCTGAAGGGCGTACAATGCCAGGATGCCGCCCGCCGTCGTCGGTTGTGGAAAAAAATACCGAACAGTTTCGCCGCGGGCCGTACCCTCGTTTCGAATCCTCGGTGCCCCTATGATACACCACCAGACACCACGTGACAGATCAAACGCACCAGCTGCAACGCAAGGGAAGGAGATATTGGAGGCACGCCAAGCACAGCAGCGAGATGGTGGGTGGGTAAATTGCGGCCAGCTGCAGCGTTTGCTTGTAGCCGTCGTTCGCTTTCGTGGGGATGATTGTTCGCGTAGGTCTTCAACCGCGGCGCAGCAGACAGCGTGTATGTATGTAGACAGTTCAGTTATCCAGCAGTGTACCGGTACATACCTGGTAGTCGATAGATACAGCAGTCCAGCAGTACACTTCCTCCGAAGCATCGCTGTCTTGGTCGCTTATTGTTGTGCACCGGGTTGTATACGAGCATTATTGTAACTCATGGTGATGAATGTGCAAATGCATCGAAAGTGCCTGCTGTGGTGCATGCCGGTTGCGCGTTGGTTGCTGCATACCCTCCTGCTATACTGCTCTCTACTCCTGTAAAAAAGCCCAGTCGAGGTCTGAAAGCATCCAAGGACGGTGTGTACTTGTGGTGTAGTCTAGTCTTGAATTCGTACACTGCTGCAAGATTTTGTGGTAATTTACGAAACAGGTACTGCACATTTCAGGTTGCGCATATGTACACGCCTCCAAGCCAAGGGGTCAACACACCGCCCTGTAGAACAATGGGTAGGCCGTCAGATTTTCACAATTCTTCTTAACCCTTACTTGACTGGGTTTCCCTGGATCTGCCGAGGGTCTTTTTTTTCTCAACTGGGCGAAGAGACCGCTGTCATCATCAAGGCCAAGGCTGTGGAACACACATATTTCAACCACCGTCTCCCGTTCTCTACACACCTACCGGTATCTCCCACATGCACTCGAGTACACATGGTCGCATCCACACGCCACTCCCTTGCCCACACAAACCTTTGGTATATAACAGCAGACCAACACACATTAGGGCTCTCATCGGTTACTGCTGTACGAGCTGGGCGTGAACTGGGGGGCTCAATCGAGAGAGGCAGACACATTGTCTTCACCCCGCACTGCTGCTGCTGTGAATTGAACATGGGTATCCACATGGGATAGCTCTAGTAATATCACTGCTGTCCGCCCGCGGCCGAGGCAGCACACCCCGCCCGCGAGGCCTGGCACCTCCTAACGTTCCACTTTCAGTGCTCCTTCGTTCGGAGCGACGAGACATGTCCACGCACGAACGAATGTGACATCGGGAAAAAATCCGAAAAAACATCCAACCGTCGGCAGCACACCAGCAGCAGAAGCAGCAGCAGAAGCAGCAGCAGTAGGCCTCGTGGTGTGACATTCGGTTAAAAAGAGACGCCGATACGCATACGTTGAGGGGACCCGTCGAGAGGCATCGCAAGGTGGACCCTTGCTCCTGTGCGCCAGCGATAACTTGGGCACAAAAATGAAAAAAAGTCTGAATGCAACCAACTGCTGTGTGTACGAATCGCAAAATAACGCAATATCTGGTCGAATAGAATAAAATCGTGCAAAATTATCAATTTCTATACTACAGATAGAGGGGGACGATCGGAGCTGTGATCCGAGCTGTAGTCCCGAAAACCCTTGCTATTGTGAGCGAAAAGTGGCCGGGGACGATAGTCTCCTTGCCGCTCTTACCTCTCTACCTTTAGGCACGACAGCAGCAGCAGAAGTAACCCAATCACTACCATCATCATGGACCCAGAGGAAGTTGCTCAGTTTTGGCAGCACATAGCAGACCAATGGCATCCCGAGACGGCTCCACGTGTTGTCTGGGATGAGCTGCTGGCCATCGCGAACTCCACGCCAGACCAACTTCCCGACGCCACGGCTGCTGCAGCCCGGGCGGTAGGACAGCGCTACTGTCAACACGGGGCAGCAGGGCCGCAGCCCCTACCCGAGATCAAGAACCTTGCGGAAAAAGTAAGACCGCGGCGCAGCAGCACCCTGGTCTCTGCGGGTACCATTGTGTAAGGGACGCTACTGCTGCTGTGCTGCTGTCCCCGTCGTTATTTCGTTCCTTTTCGACGGTCTACTCGTCCAGTCCAGCCATCGTCGACGCAGGTATCCACAGCTCAATTCGGGCTCAATTCGGTTCGATAATGTCGCATTGAAGAGTCATCGGAGCTGGGAACGGAGCTCATTCGTGGGTGTAGTCACATTCGGGGCAAATCCATGTCGGATGCTGGAACTCTTCTTGATGTACATGTTGGAGTTTCAGCATAAGTCCGATTTTTTTTTTTTCTTCTGGAACTCTTGGTGGAGGACCCGACGCAACCCGATGATCGAACAAACGCCTGAATGGACTCATTCATGTATCGCCTGCATGCGTTTACCGCAATCAACTGAATCCCTCTACCCCTGTTCAAACGAATTTCTGAGTAGAACGAGAACAAATGTTGTATCGTGCCGTCGTTTTGAGGATGTCGCATCGCAATCGAAACCCATCTCTTCGAACAACGTAAGTACCGAACAATGCTACAGCAGTAGTAGTCATCGCACAAATTGGAATCATCCCACATATGGAAATCGTCGTGCAGGGGCGCAGGGGTGCGAACAAATGTCAACGAAACGACTACCGTAGTGACCACTTTCTAGACTTTCATTGCTCTGTTTCCCGTGTGCTCAATGTGTTCGCGATGAGTGCCCCCACGGCCAAGGGCTGCTTCTCTGTGGTGCTGACCGTGCTTCGCTGAACCCCACTTCACTGCTTTACCTACTCCGCCTGTCTAATTAACTGCTACCATTTGCAATTTGACAAAAAGAACACCTTGCCATAAGCCACGACCGTCGAAAGTTTTTTCGCGAGCGGCGAGAGTTTCTTTGGGCCTTCTGGATGTCTGTTCTCGTTGTGTCGGCTTGTTGTTTGGATAAGCGACGAAGGTGGTGCATCGGGTGGAGACCAGAACGGGTTCGAATGTGAAAGCAACAACGAACGTAGCACCACCACCACCAACAACAATAATAGAAGAACAAGGACATGCATGGCAATCACCTGCTACAACTTTGCAGGGCGACCTCGAGGACAAAATCCTGAAGAAGAATATCCCCGGCAAGTACACATGGTGGGAAAAGGACAGCGACGAAGAAGGGGAGACCGCTCGGGCGGACTGGGTAGACCGGGAGGCGAGCGACCCCGAGAGGGAGATGACGGAGATGGAGAAGCAAAAGAAGTGGGTAGACAACGATTGCCCCGAGCCTATCCGGCGGACGATCATGGCGCGGCAGGAGAAGGAGAGGGCGAGGACCGGCGTGAAGGGCGTGCTGGCTGATTTCGACGCCTGGAAACTCTCGGCGGATGCGGGTGCGTTGGCGTTACCAGCTGTGGTACTGCTGTAGGTTGTTGTTTGGCTGTGGGCTTGCTGGTACGCTCCCTCGCACGTGCTGCGAGGGCCTTCCAAGTGTGTACCACTGCTGACGAGGCAGGTTGTGTAGTGTGGTTCGAAGTCTTCTCTGGCCTGTCTGTCTGTCTGTCTGTCTGTCTGTCTGTCTGTCTGTCTGTCTGTCTGTCTGTACCTCTCCTCCTTCCTCTCCCTTCCTCTATCGTTCGTTCTCTGCTCCCTATCCACAGCGTTCTTCATTCTTCATAGATGTATGATCCGTGTTATGCACCCTCCCCTTGCCCAACATGCCCCCTCTAACACGCCTACTGCTTGTCGCGATCTAACCCCCCCCCCTCCCCCGCACTGCCATACGCGTAGAGGATCTCATTGCTAAGGAGTACCGAGCGGCGATGCTCAAACGCATGGCGGAGGGTCATACGGTTCCAGGTCCCTTGGCTGCCACCACCATCACCACCGCCACCACCGGCGACGGCAACGACGGCAGTGACGACGATGACGACGACGACGACGAGGGTTTCCTAGGGAGCTATCGCCGAAGGCGGTTAGAGCAACTCAAGGCCACCGCGGGGCGGCCGCAGTTCGGGCAGATCGTGGAGGCGGAGCGCTCAACGTTCGTGTCGGCGGTGGACACAGAGGACCCCAGGACTAGCGTGGTCGTGCATCTGTACGAGCCGTACATCGACGCTTGTCGCCGAATGAACAGGTTCTTGGAGGTATTTGTATAATGTAGGTTCGTGCGGGGGGGGGGCGGAGGGCAAACACTTGGTGAGAGCACGCTTTCGTTGATGGCGGCTTCGACGCGTTTTCGAGACTTGTTGCCTCGCGAGCAGATACTTGGAGATGTACAAGGTGATGAGATGTGTTGCATGCCTAGTCTCTAAAAGAGGAGTTGAGCGAGAGGGGGCAGAAGAAGGATTTGTTGCAACGGGCACGCATAGTCGGCTTGTCGGGTGTTCCTGACCGCCAGATGTGTACTGAACACAACGTCAGTCGCACCTTGGGAGTAGTCAAGCATTTTCCTTGCAAACTTTATCAGGGAAGACAAGGAGCACCACGAGTGTTTTTGGTGCCTGTTCTACCTATTTGGAGTAGGGAGCATGCTCTGTCTCCAAAGAGGTGCGTGGTGATTGGAGTGTAATCATAAAACTTGCCCTGTGCTGATTCTCATCTCTCCCGCGCTGTATATCTACTGTCTCCACATCACCAGGTTTTGGCGGCCAAGCAGCCCACGGTGAAATTCCTGCGTCTGAGGAGCTCCGCGGCAGAGGGGGGCGACTACGACCCAGTGGCCCTACCGACGCTGCTGCTCTACAGGGCGGGGGAAGTAGTCGGGTGCATGACACGTGTCACTGACGACATCGGGGAGAACTTCACGCAGGACGATGTGGAGTGGCTGCTGCAGGAACACGACGTTTTCGAGGCAAGTTAGTGGTTTAAGGCCAACTCGTTACATACAGCGGTCGTCGTATTTTGGTGTTGGCCCTTTCGTTTGTGTTGGATTGCCCCAAGTTTGTTGTTCTCTTCTAGTACTCCATGGGTGTGTGCTCTTGAGACTTTTTATCACCTTGTTTTTTTCCCGTGTTCATCGTGTCGTCTCTCATGAGCGTTGCCATACGAACATCTTCGTTGTTTCAATTAATGAGCTGTCGGCTCCGATCCCAGATCCCGACCCCCCTCGCCACTCTCGGCGCCGCCGCTTTTCGAACTTTGTTTGGCGATTGCGCTGTTCTTTCTTCCTCTCTTGCGCAGGCATTACAGTATCCACAAGTGTCGGGGGCAGGGGCAGGGGGAGCGGGTGAAGGGGCTGCGAGGGGTGTTCACTGCATGTCGACCGGCCGAGGGCGAAGAGAAGATGGCCTCGATGACAGCGACGATGAGGCTGGCAACGACAGCTGATTCTATGGGCTATTGGCTACAAAGTAGCCGTTGTTTTTGGTATGATCAAATGTTGGTGTTGTCGGGCTTGTGACCTGTTGATGTGTTATATATGTTGTGGTGGCTGGTCTAGATGGCGACGTGGTTGTGTACCCGGATTTGCCCGTGGCTGGCGCGTCAACGGGTTTCATTTGGAAATTGGAGGGAGAGGTTTCGCGGCGTTTTTTCGACCAGGATGGCCCCGGTGGTCTGGTTGGATGCTGCACCGTCTTCTCGCGGCTAGGGTTGAGTTTCGAATCTCGGGATGTTTCGTTATTTTGCGCCGCCCAGTTGACCCAGTTCAGCAGCACTGTTGAAGGAATTGATACAAACAACGTTGTAGGAATTGTTTGATTGTTGTGAAGGTTGTAAATGAATGCTCGGAAACAGAGCCCCGGAACCCATTTAACCGATTCACGTGTCGCCTAACCTGCAAGCTGAAACTGTTTATACGAAGTACTGGTAGGCATTTTTCGGGGTTGAATGCATGGCGTCCCCGGGTTCCGATTGTATAGTCGTTATTCCCATATTCCAACTAGCGGGACGTCGTTGTGGGCGGCGCAGAGCAGCTCGATGCTCTTAGAAGTGCCTACAGTCAGCAAGATTGCAAAGCAGGAGACCACAACTGTGGTTGCTATGTCGAGGGGACTTGGAGGCAGGGTTGCGCGTGAGTGAGATCTGTGCGTGATAGTTGTATGCAGTGCAGAGTGTGTGTGAGCAAGAAAGTGCCGTTCAATCCGGGTCGAGCAGCAGAGGAAAAAGAAAAAAATATCTGGGCCTCGAACCATTCACAGAAGCATGGAACGAAATCGACAGGAGGCACATCCCTGTGCTATCCAGAACTCGGGTGAGAAGAGGGCAGCGGATAATATTTCAACCGCCCCCGAGATTCAGAGATTGGAGATTCCATTCAATTCGAATTACCATCCAGCGATCTAGACTATTAGGTAGCATGGTACACCTCAAGGCAATTTGAATTTTCGAAAATTGCACAGCAGGAGGGACAACAAGAACCCCAAGTTTTGGCCCTGTTTCGCCGATCAGAGTGGTAACGCAAACCAAGAAAAAGGGGCGGCACGTGAGCTGCTACCCCCAATATCCACACCACCGATCTGCGGATCTTCGACCGTTCTCTATTTCACGTGGACGTGACACCGTAGTGGGGAGAGGGTGGAGAGCGGTGCTGCTTGTCGTTGGTGCGTAGCTGCCTATAGGTGCCAAGGGTGAGCTTCTCGGCCCCCAGGTCTATTTGACATGCTTTTCTCGGAAATTAGACCATGCATGTAATCACCCCACCATCCCCCTGCTGTCCATCCGGCGTCGCAAGTGTTCGTGTGTTGACGATAAGAGTTGATAAGAGACTCAAATAATTGCGCCGCATCTTAAGCGTATTTTTTCGGGCCCGTTCGAGCTCTCTTCCTTTCAAACCACGTTCCATCCTCCTCCCCCGCTAGGCACTCTGCACCACCCAGCACGCTGCACTGTCTGCGCTGCGTGTCAGCCCTGCTGTTGCTGTGTGCGAGACGCCACGCCCATCACACCGACACATCAATCTGCGCGAACATCAATAATCAATAGTTCGGCAGGTATGCCCTCCTATTACTCCAAGTGCGAAGTGCGAAGTATAGCTTTCAGGAACAGTAGGACCGTACCAAGCGAGCGTCCGGTCGTACCTGCATGTGTTGCAACAACGCGTGTGGGGAGGCAGTGCTGTCGTAAGCCCTGGTCGACAAGACATGCCTGAAGTTTTGCCTTATTAAAGCTCTTTTTTTCTAGTTCAACCCCTCTCAGGAATTGTGCCTAACTTGCTGGGTTAGAGGACTTCTACGTATTATATCACAGATGTTTGCCTGCGGGTGGCGATGTTTCTTTACATGACCCCGTGATCTAGGGTGGTGATCTACAGGAAGCACCTGGAGTATCCCGTAGGTGCGGATGCCGGACAGTCCCCATGGAGAAAAGTCACGACGAGAAAGGTGGAGCTTAACCCCCTACGACAAAAGCATTTCCCTGTTCCCTGGTGCCCATTTTCATGTTGACCTGAGTTGAAACAAGACGCAAGAGCATACGAAAAAGGCACAAAAGACACACAAGGCCAGTCGGGCATGCATCGGGAAAAACAGAAATCGTTAATTTTCGCACAGGGTGGCAGTAGAGGCTGCTCTACCCATACGTGTAGACGCCTCCTTTGAAATCACGATCAACTTTTCAAAATTCAAGCCCAAAGAGCCAGACCGGCAGGCGCTCGTACGGTCTGTATTGCATTCTAGCTATGCTGTTGTAGGAGGCTTTGAAAAGAAGACACGCTAAATTATAGCAGCGGCGTGTGTTGGCGCGCTCACATCTGCTACTTGGGGGGTGACATTGAGGGTCGCAGTGCATTATTGACTCTGCATTATTTATAGCGGCCCGCAGTTAAGAAACCCCTTACCACGCACAGAAAATTCGACGTTCTTGCGAAATTTCTGAAATGTAAGAAAAAGAGCGAGCGACGCCTGCTGATTGGATGGTGCAGACAGTTCCATCCCTGGGTGCAAGTGCAAAGCTGCCTGCCCGCTTGAGCCGTCTCTTGTCAATAATTCCTATCAAATGTCCCCTCGATCAAGGGGACATTTGATAGGGATTATAGACAGGAACTGGCGGGAGCGTGGTCAACGGGGCACGAAAAGGAGGTTTCAAGATATTTCTTTAGAGGGAAAGCGAGACCTGCTAAGGGCCGTTTTAAACTGACCGACTTTTTGTCAAAATGTTTGAAAGTGTCAAAAAAATGGAACCTGTATGTAGGCGTTTGTCCATATTTTTTCAAAATATTTGGAACGAAGTTGGGCGCGAAAACTTTGCTCCACTTCGTTCCAACTTTTTGACAACCCTCTCAAAGTATTTGGAGCACTTTCCAAAGTACCCTTGCAGAGGCACGCGAGGGCTGCTGCGTCTGCACCACGAGTGCCCCTCACCGTAGAAAGTCAGCTAGGGTTGTGTGTGGGTCATGGCCGACCGTAGAAAGCGCGGCGCGCCTACAGATTCGAGCGGCTCTCCTCGCCCACGGGCACGCGCAATACAAAAAAAAAAACGGCGGTCCGCCATGATGGCTTGCAGTTGTTGCTTCGCGTCCGCCGCTTTGTTTTTTCCTTTTCCCGGGGGGGTAGGAGCAGTGGTTGCCACCCCTCGCCGGCGGAGTGTTGGTGGCGGCAGCGCCTCCCGTGGTAACATGAGTGTTCCCCGAGATGCCAGGCAGCAGCACTATCTTGCTGGAGAGCAAGCCTCCACCGCCTACGGCGGCACCGAGAGAGCCCGTCTGCTGGAATTTCGCCGGGGTTTTGGTCTGCCGGCCACGCTGGGTGGTCGTGATATCCATGTCGGTGTCCATGATGTCGTGTTTTCCGCGGTTTGTGTTGTGTCGTCTGTGTTGTCTCGAAGTGAGCGCTACAACTCACGGACGGCGTCATTTTTTTTTACACAAGTTGCACAAGTCTACGTCACACGTTTAAAATGACTGCACACAGGTTCCAAGTTTTTGAAAGACAACTGTCGAAAATTTTGACAAAAAAGTCGGTCCGTTTAAAACGGTCCTAACCCAAGCCCTAGGTTGCCCGGTGCCTCCTATCAACGGTGGGCTAGGTACTTCTTCCGCGCTTGCCCCTAGGAGCGCTTTCCACCCAAGGGTAGACGTGCTGAAGGGATTGCAGGTGTACCTCCTCGGGCTTGCGTACCCTTTCCTTGCTAATAGTGTGTGTGTTCTTTAGATCTTCTGATGGCTCTAGCATTTTTGTGACCACGGACCGAGTCTTTGCTAGATTTTGGGATTAGCAACTGACACGAGTTTAATGTGGAGAAAAACAACAACAACAACAACAACAACAACAACAACAACACCAACAACAGACAGACGCGGCGCGACTTCGCTGTTGAACCCGCGGCGTAATCGCCCCTCGATTCGACCTGTTCATTACCCTCATACTCCTCCACTCTACAAAGCATCCATACTGCTAAAAGAGGGTCGTCCCCGTGTACCCTGGTACCCCCCCGGTCGAGTAGTTGAAAGGAGGATACAATCGTGCCGTTCTTCGCGAGGTAAAACAAGTGAAGAAGATGGGGACAAAAAGTGTCCCCAAAAGGCGATCTAGCCGTAAGGAGGTTAACAAAGGCTCAGATTCGGGCGAAAAATAAGAAATTTGGGCAAGTAACGCACCTCAATTTACACCAAAGTTATACTCGAAACATCCCAATAAGAAACTGGACCAACTGATACCCCCAAGATATATAAAACGAAGGGTAGCTGGGGGGGCGTACCGAATAGGAAACGCCTTGTAGAGTGCCAGAGCGCTGCCACACGCACAACCCTACCCCTGGCTATTGTACTTTTTCTGCGAACGTTGGGGCGTGGGTGCTGCTGGAGGTGGACGAACAGGAGGGCGTTCGGAAGTCCGGGAGGGCGCTCACCGCCAATATTCACCACATCGCTTTCGGCATGATGGCACACATGCACGACTTCGTAGACTTGTAGGTATAGTTCTTCGCCGAATTGAGAAATAGAATATGAGAAACTCAGCAAGATCTGGCAGCGCTGAAACATGGGACTTTACGAAACTGGAGGGCTTCGGCTGGTCCTTCGGGGCAAAATAAGAGTTTGAGCCTCGACCCGGATTGGCGTTTCTTGACCGCGGGCCGTAACTGTAGCGGCCTACAATCTCCGCAGACTAGACCGACACCGAGTGTGTTTTAATCACCTGAACCGCGGCTTTATCGCAGTAGCTGACGCCTTCAGCTATTGCTCACGACCCACCGTTCACGGGTTTACGGTCCTTGGCGGTGAGCACGGCTGCGACGAATTTTTGATATTTCCGCTCAGCAACCAAAGTAATGTGCCAGCACACACGACGCTTCATGGTGTCCTCTGCTGATAACAGTAGCTAGGGTAAGATCGACACGGTGGTTGCGTTCTTCTGGTATATTGGACTGAGTATGACAACAGAGCCAGCGTTGGAAGGAGCGCCAGTCCCTCAACCACAATACATGTAACAGCAGTATCAGACATGCAACAACGGAACATTTGAGCGCTCGGGCGTGGCACTCGGGGGCATCGCATACAGCGAATAAGGCAGAGGAAGAAGCGTGGTGACGGGTAGCCGTGACGGTTTTGATGGAAGCTGTTAGCGAGACGGCACATCACTTACATGTGCTAGGCATCAGCTAGGGAAAACCAGTGCTAGTCGTCCAATCCGCACCATCGAGAGTGCTCTGGAAGACTTCTTTCTCGAGAGTTGTCGTAAACAGTGTGGCACTTTTTCTTCCCTAACCAAAAGCTACACCAGCACCTGCTACAGTTATTTTGTATGCGAGATACCTCTGATAGTGTTGTTAGTATCCGTATCACTTGAACCGGTAGCAGGAAGCACCTCAGGCGGCGACATGGCCCAGATTGATCACAAACCATCCCACCGCAAGCTGAATTGCCACCGACGAGCCCGTATTGCAAGTTTCACACGGACAGACTGTAGGATCATAAAGTGAACTTGTTGTTCATTAAGACTGTATTGCGGCGGGACCTAGGGGGGCGAAAACGTCTCCAGGAACGTTGTGCTGTGTCGTCCGCCAAGCATTGGGCCAATCAGACAAAATTCCCCAGTTCCCTTTTCCCGGCAGCTTGTGTTTTAGAGTATTTGAAGTGTGATGGATCAATGGATGAGTGTGACGGAAGCAATCGAAAGCACAGCAAGAAACAACAGCTTCGTGTGGTTTTTGTATGCCTACTTGTTTTGATGTTGCATCTCCTCTACAGGCGACAACCTTGTTGTGATGTATAGCATGATATCTACGTTGCGAAGGGTACCAGCAGCAGACCGCAGGATACGTGAAGGACCACCAAGAACTCCACAGAAGAAAGCGAGTACGAAAGCCCGCGCCAAGCATGACGTATTAACAGAAAATACAGTTAAAGAAAAAGGCAACAGCTTGCCGAGCATCAGTTGTGTTGCTGCTGACGAAGAAAGGACACGACAGCGCCAAAGTTATATGTGGTGTGTGGAATGGTTGTGCGGTGCTACTGCGGCAGCTGCGCCTGGTCTTGCGGGTCTCCCTCCCTCTCTCTGTCTCTCTCTGTCTCTGTCTCTGTCTCTCTCTCTCTGTCTCTCTCTCTCTGTCTCTCTCTCTGGCTCTCTCTCTGGCTCTCTCTCTGGCTCTCTCTCTGGCTCTCTGTCTCCCTCTGTCTGTCTGTCTGTCTGTCTGTCTGTCTGTCTGTCTGTCTGTCNNNCTCTCTCTCTCTCTCTCCTCTCTCTCGTATCCGCTCCTGCTTTGAACGCTAACATGATTTGGCAACAGAAAACTGACTTCATGTGTGGCCTGATCTTCAAATATCTAAGAGGAAACAGAACATATGTTGTTTTCCTTCTGACAGCACGGAGGGAAAAAAAGGGAAAACGACACAACAGGGTATACCCTGGTCGAAAAGCGACACACCTGGGTACACAGTCCGAGA